TGGCTATCTGTTTATCATGAATATAGACTTTCTTCGCACTTGTAGAAAGTATAATTTCCAAAAGTGGAGCTATCTTGTTTTTGCAGTTACCCCACAAAATTCCAAACGATTATTTAAAAATTAGCGCGCTCTATCTTTGCAATGACGTATTATACTTGCATTAGTTGGAGTAATTGAGTGGAGGGGAATAACGTATGACAGTTAATATGATAAAAAGATGTCCTCCTTCAAACTAAAATCGATCTGTCTGAGCAATTTTTAAAATCCACACTATTAATACCCAAAACCCCCATGTTTTCGTTAGGTCACCATGCATAGCAAGAGTATTAATATTAAAGAAAGTTAACTTATAAATAGTAACTCTTAAACAAAATACAAATTAAATAAATCGATCTTATATTATAAAGAAATATTGAATAACAGTTTTGAAGACTATTAAAACCAGTTATAAAGTTTGAAACGAATAAATTGCTAATGAAATTGATATTTTTGTATTTGATTGTATGTTACTCCTTCCATTTACTGAAAAAAGATTCTTGTAACCTGTACCAATGACCAAGTCCGGTTCTATTTATTTTCAAATAAACAAATATGGCCGTCGATAGAATTTCTAAAAATTAAAAAACTTACCGAAATAAATGTTTCCTTTATCGACGTCACAGTTTTATTGTGAATACAGCTATTTACAACACACCTTGGCATTTTCAACGTTAATTTCCAAAATTTAAGTCGCTAAAATACCAAATTAATTCTCGTTTACACAATTAGTGCAGGGCATAGTGGCGCATTCGTTTGCAAAATTGTTTTAATTCGTATTTTTTTTTTAATGTCCAGAAGGCTTTCCTGATTATAAAAGTGTAAGATGACACTCGATATTTGTGTTTAAACAACGAAAAATTAATTAAAGGCTGTATGTCACGATACTAAATTAAGTACTAAACTTAGCACTAAATTAAGTCATTAATTTAGTACTAAATTTAGAACTAAAAATATTTTATTCCGTTTGCAACGATACCAATTTTTAGTACTAAATTAACTATAGGCGCACGCGCATTGACGTATTAATACGTGAAATAAGCAGAGAAATGAAATATTCTGGGTAAAATAGACAAGTGAAGTAAATGGTGTTTTTATTATCAATTTGACATGACAACAACCAAATACAGCAATGCTACTATAAACCACGAAAAAAACACAATAAAATCTACAAAATCAAACAAGCGAACTTTATTCAAGTCGATAATGCAAAATTTTCGCTAATTAAAAACAAAATGGTACAGAAAATACCGTCGTGTCAATTTTTTCTGTTAAAAACTTCTGCGCAACATTTCGACGCACTTTTAGTACTAAATTTAGTAGAAAATAGAACAAGTTCTAATTAATTAATGACTTTTTTTTGTACTAAATTTAGTACTAAATTTAGTACTTTTTTTTGTACTAAATTTAGTACTAAATTTAGTATCGTGACATACAGCCTTAAGCCAGAAAAAATGCATTTTTTGCAATGAATTAATTTTTTTTATATTCTTTAGGATATTTCGAATAAAAAAAGTCCTTACGCCCATCATCGTATCTTTAACCCTTTAATTGTTATGAACGTTTTAAAATCCGAAATTGACGAAAAAAAAAATTCTAATTTTCTTGAATTAAATAATATACCTTAAAATTTAAAATGCTATAATTTTAAATTTTTTACCGAATATTCAAACTATAATAAACAAAATAACCTAAATAAATTTTCAAAATGTTGTTTGTTGTTATGTTTTTTTTACGTTATAACAATATGCTTCCTACGCGCGTGTACTTTTAGAGAGAAGTGCTTCTATCTCACTTCCAACTCAATGTATAAGATGGGTAAAAAAATTATTATTAACATTTTTCATAACACTTTGTTATATTTGCCTATTAATAGTTTTGTATCATGTGATTTTACTTTTTTAGATACTTTTGATAGCTTTTTTATTTATTAAAGTTAACAGAAACATTTATTTTTACCATTTATTTTTATTCATGAAAAAATTATTGTCAGATACTGCCTGAGAAGTAAAATCTTCTTCAACCTTTTTTTTTCAATACGATAAAAAGGCCAAATGCACTTGTCGTGATCCGTGAAAAATTGCTACCTGTTACAATGAACATAGCCAGGCTTACTGAGGTTATAAAATTTTATGATTTCAAAAATATCCAAGGCTATCTAAATTTAACAAAAATAAGGAAACAAAATTTTTCCATGCACGTCGGATGCTTTGAAATTGCATGCTTTACGAGCATAAATAAATATCCCAGTGGCGTACTAGTAATATTTACAATATACAACACTTAGCAAAATCGTGCAAGTGTAAAAAAAATTCGAAAGCTTGTTCGTGTCAAAAACTAAACATGACGTGTGTGTCATTATGTGGATGTTTAATTGAATGTTGCCAAAATCAATTTCATGTAAAAACTAGTTAGATGTATAAACTATAATTTTATGTAAAAAATTTCTTAATGAATGAATATTACTATTAAATAATCATAGTGGAAAAGAATTAACAACCATAGAAAAAATTTAATACATATATATTGCATACTCTGTTTTAAAATAAAAACCAGGTGAGTCTACTATGCTTATCGTAACAGGTAGAAATTTCCCTTGAATTACGGCAGGTATGTTTGTCTTCTTTTATCTTATTGGAGAAAAAGTGAGAAAAATTTATTTTTTAGAGAGCTCTTGGCAATGATTTTTTTTGTGGATGGAACATTTCTATTAACTTCAATGCTTAAAAAAGTTATCGAAAGTATCTAAAAAAGTAAAAAAAAAAATCACATGATACAAAACTATAAATCGGCAAATATAACAAAGTGTTATGAAAAATGTTAATAATACTTTTTTTTAAATTATTACCGCTGAAAAACAGCAAAAAATTGATTTAGCGCGTCATCGGGGTAGATGTACTTCTCTCTAAAAGTACACGCGCGTAGGAAGCATATTGTTATAACGTAAAAAAAACATAACTACAAACAAAATTTTGAAAATTTATTTAGGTAATTTTGTTTATTATAGTTTGAATATTCGGTAAAAAATTTAAAATTATAGCATTTTAAATTTTAAGGTATATTATTTAATTCAAGAAAATTAGAATTTTCGTCAATTTTGGATTTTAAAAAATTCATAACAATTAAAGGGTTGAAGATACGATGATGGGCGTAAGGACTTTTTTTATTCGAAATATCCTAAAGAATTTAAAAAAAATTAATTCATTGCAAAAAATGCATTTTTTCTGGCTTAATTAATTTTTCGTTGTTTAAACAATAACATCAACAGATATCGAGTGTCATCGTACACTTTTATAATAATAATAATAATAATAATAATAATAATAATAATAATAATAATATTTTTATTGACCATTTAAAATACAATATTTGAAAAAAAATAAAATACAATTAAAAAAAAAAATTAAAGTACCAGAAATAAACATGGTCAAAAGGTCCTAAGATCAGCTCAAGCTGTTCTTCCTCAAAGGCCTGCAAATGTAATCTAAACTAATCTAATAGGGTGTAACACATGTATATAATAATCAGAACTAAAACAAACAAAAAAGTACTATGGGCCGTTTGCATCGCTGGTCATCAAGAAACAAAAGACTTTTATTTTTTAAGGAAAGATAATGACGAGCGGTGCCGATGGATCCTAGTAATTTATATAAACCAAACAAAATCAAATTACAAACTTACAAATTTGTGAATTGGTCATCATATAATATTTTAAACATTTTTGTTTTAAATGATGCTATGGATAAATTAATTAGGGAAACAGGAATATTATTATACTCCTTTGCTATCTGGTATGAAAACGAGTTTTTAAATTGTTGTGTTTGGTGTTTTGGAATCTCAATAGAATTTTTTTTTCGTGTATTTCTACTATGAACATCAGAACGATAAATAATTTTATTCCAAAGATATGGAGGACTTTTTTTAATTAAAATTTTGTGAAACAGGGTTAATGAATGAAGTTTTCTTCTATTTAACATATTTAACCATCTGGCATTTGCTAGTGTATGGGAAAGCCTTCCGGACATTTAAAAAAAAATTACGAATTAAAACAATTTTGCAAACGAATGCGCCAGTATGCTCTGGTCTAAATAGATTTGAATTAAATTTTGATGAACAACACTCTTGACTTGTACTAAATTGTAATTGGCCGGTGTTAAAGTTCGAAGTAGGATCATGCGCAGTGTCTTATGTTCTATCTACGGTTTGCATAGGGTTTGTTCCAACAGCAATACAGAACCGTTCGGAATTTATCTGCGCATGAGTAGTATGAAAAATACAACAGTTAAATCGTACTGCTCGTGCGCAGATAAATACGGAACGGTTCTGTACTGCTGTTGGAACAAACCTTCATAGTTTTGCATCTGCGAACGTGATTCCAGTGATATTTATTAAATTTAAAATAAGACGATATAAAATATATTAACCAACGCACCAAGCAAAATAAAGATGAGACACTTAATTATTATATTTGGACGTAAGAGACATAAAGAGAGTAACTTGGTTTAACCACGTCCTTCCGATTGCGGTTCGCAATGGGCGAAGTATTATTATATTTCTGTCTATTTAATAGCATTGCGTTTCTATACCGTTCTTCTGGAATAAATATTGGAAAGTTAACGTATTTATGTATACCCATCCCAAATAGCACACTACATCTTAAAGATATACAGTTCATAGTTCATGTCTTACTTTGGTCCAAACGTCCTGGTACGTAAAACAGACAATTTTAAGACATGTTTAAAACGACTTTGTTGGGATGTTTTAGAACGTTTTAAATATGTCGGTAATGTGGGCGTTTAACTCTTTTCGCTATATTTAAATAATATGTCTTTACGTGTCCGTGCTATCTGGGATTTCAGTTGCAATATTGATGACGTATATGCCAAGAACGCTGATTTTACCTTTACATAGTTTTATTTTAATTTAGTTATATTATTTAGGAAATAATCAAAATTTTATTCTAGAAAAAAGAAAAATGCATGGCGCCAAAAGGGTAATGCTTTTTTGTCTAATGACAGCTATTCTTCCAACTATCCTTATCATAATTCCTCTATATCTTCGACATGTCGTGTTCGCTGATGTTGTTTACCCAGTAGCAGAGTCAGACATTCTTGCCATTCAAGAAGGGGTAAGTAAATATATACAATTATTTTTTTTACATCATAACACTTTTGTCACTTTTATTCTGTATTATAATAACACTCTATTTCTATCCAAATTAAATCGGACAAAGTGAGAACGGAATTATAAAAGAAAATATTCTCAGATTTATTTTCCTAGTCGGATATTAAATTATATGTGTTCTAATTTGTAATTAGGCAATCTAAGGTCCTGTCAAAAAATTCAATATGACAGACGGTTGGCAAATATATCTGTGGCAAATTTTTTCAATATAATTTGTCTGTTTTTATTGTAAATCATTGCAAATTTGTGTTATTGGTTGATTTGATGATAATCTAAAGGGTCGATCATACCTAAATTTTTTAATTTCTAGAGCATTTGCCAATAATCCATCATTTTAAGTCACTTTTATTTAACATTTTAAAAGAGCTTGACCTCCAGAAATAGCCAGTACCCCTAAACCGTACCAATAACAAGGTTAATTGTAATGTTGGTTTATTAATATAAACTAACATTTATTGATATAAACCAACATTACGTACGTGTGGACAGTTCAGTAATTGGAAATTTACATTGATGGGCATAGACAAATATATTTTTTCTCGTTGTTACAGGTGTCATCAGTTTTCTGCAAGTCTCTTTCGTTAAAAATGAATTCCACGTTCAACGCTTTTCAACTTCAAGGAAAACCGTCTAAAAGTGGAAAAATTAAGCACATAAGGTTAAAGAAATCCATGTCTCTTCCAGACGACACTTTAGAATATTGGGGATTTTATTTGTTGAAGGGATCAATCGTAAAACTAAGGGTAACAATAATAATTAATTTCAGTTTGGATCATAACTATGATGAGTACTGCTATAAAGTTATAGGAAAATTCAAAACAAAACACCAATTACGATGTAAATATATCTTTATTGCTTCTCAAATTTTTTCCAAGTAAAATCTATACACATTTGCATCACATGAAACCAATCTTCAAAACATGTTTTCCACTCTGAACAAGGTACCTCCGAAACAAATGATTTAAAATGTACCGCCACAGAGAAAATAATTCTTACCTTGACGCCTTCGGTCTTGAAATTACTCTGGCGCCAGTTTTATTAAAGTAGTTTTAATACGGCGTCAAAAGAGATCGGGTATATGTAGACATGAAAATTCCAGGGGACAACTTGATATCTAAGACTCGTAAGATTCTAAGACTAAAACAATAACGGTAGAGAATTTCCGGACGGTAAAAATAGTTCAAAGGGGTCGGAAATACAGTTAATTAACCGCAATTATAAGCCACACGGGTTGACTTAAAAAATGTAATGCTTACTATTTATAGCTAATATAACAAATATAAAATGGAAAAATACAAAAATATCAGCAGCGATCGAGATCTAGTTAAAAATATTTAGACGGCTCGACAGGTCGAGTGATTGAATTCGATTCAAATACAATGAATCGATTGAATTCAATAAATCAATGCCCTAAACAGCACGGATTTCGGATTTTTTAGAGCACTTACTCGTGCATCTGTAACGTGTGGAGGGTGGGTTACCTCCCACGGCACTTAGGCCTCACTATGCCAATTGTACATCCTCTTAAGACGATAGGCTCCTCCTGGCTCGTGAGCCAGCCTACAGATTTAATGTAGTTGACAACGTCCAGGGTTGTTACGGACTTATTTTTTAAAGTGTAACAATCTGTAACAAAATTGTTAGCATTGTGCACCTACGAGTGATAAATGATGAAAGTGACAGTTGACAGCAATAATTTAAAATAGCGTCGCCGCATGCGACACCTTTTGTTTATTTCGCGATTTATTTCTTAAGTTGTATTTCGTTTCATTGGTTTAAGGGTCTATTTATACTCCCTTATTATTAGTATTTGCATTAGTATTATGATTAAGTATTAAGTTGAACCTTCACAATGTAATGGGGACATTTATACTCGATTTATGATTAGTATTAGCATTAATATTTATGCTTAATAATTGACAGGTTCAACTTTTAAATTAAATATTAAATTTCTTCTTTTCTATAAAATGAATCAATGGCGTATTTGGCCTTTGTTTTTAATAGACAACGGATAAGGATAATTGACAATACACATATGATTATGTTGTTTATATGTTTGTTCCAACAAGCTCGAAAACGATAATATTTCGGTACAAATCATGCTCTGTATACAATTTTTGTGTATCAGCAGTGTTTACCGATTATAAAGTTGACAAATGACATGTCACCACGAGGAAGCAATGGCCTCTTTTCTGTCTGATTTGTATCAAATTTCTGCTTCTTTTTATCTGTTATAAATTTGAGACTTAAATCCGTTAAAATATCCTTAATTAAACCTATTTTTGAATAATAATATTTTTAAATAAAATTAACTAGTAAAAATATTAATAAAAAACTCAAATATCTTAAAAGAACACAACTGACCTCTTACACATTTCTTCAGTAACCATATATTTTGTTGACTGCAGAATTATATCTTATTAGGTATTAGGTTTAAAAAAGAATTACTAATACTAATTATAAAACGAGTATAAATACCTTTTTTGAATCATTTAACAAATTTAATGCTTAATCATAATACTAATACAAATACTAATACTAAGGGAGTATAAATAGGCCCTAAATCGGCTATTGTTATTAGTAGCCACTAGATAGCAGTTTTTAAGTAATTTTATTCGTATAAAGAGAAGAAAAAACGTATATGATTTATATGGCTTATAGTGCACTTTCTGTAGCAAAATAATGAAATTGGTCATATTGGTGCACCTGTGAAGTTTCTCGTAAAAAGTGTAGCATTCTACACAATTGTGTAGCCTGTAACAACCCTGACAACGTCGCCAAGAGGTGCTTCTCTTATATCGGCCGGTGTTAGCCGATACTCGCCGAACACAAATCTTCTAATAAATCAGAGCATCGGGCAATCGTAAAGGATATGCTCGAGGTCTTATCTTCTTGTTCGCACCCCCTGCAGAGTGCGGATTCTGACAACTCCATAATATGGAGATGCTTCCGTACTTGGCAATGCCCAATCAGAATGCCTGTGACCAAGCGCAGATTCTGTTTAGTCAGTCAAGTATTTAATTGCTGTAGTGTTGTCAGGATAACTTAAAAGCTCACTGTCAACTCGGCAGTGTTGTGATTGTGAATAAAACAATGTAGAATAAACTAGTACTTTTACTTCAGTTTGTTACATACTCTAGATCGAAATCAATGTTATTATTTAATGACAATCATCTATAGGTTATGTCGCAAGCCGTGGCTACATCGTCAACTTCCGTAACTATAATATGTAACATCCTCCTTCGCAATAAAAAGAACAATTAACTGTAGTTATAAAATAATGAACGAAAATTAAAATAATGAACGAAAATAATGAGTGATAAAAAATACAAAAAGGGTTTGACCTTACAGGTCTAGTTTATTTGGCCTTCTTACTGTCTTCCTGATCTGGTCATTTGTTCAGTTTGGACACGTGATTGTAATGAAGTTGGATCACGCCTCGTTGTCTTACTATCTTCATTGAGCTGCGTCTGTGTCATAGTAGTTTCTTCACACAATTGAGCTGGTTCTTTTGAAAATCTAGGCATCTCTTCATTTCGTGTTTCTTGAACTGGTAATTTGAAATGTGCGTGTTTGTCATGGTTGGGTTGCATATCTTTTAGTAGGGTCCTTCCATTTAGTGTTTGAATGATGTACGTTCGGGGTTCCTCTCCTTGTCCTACTACTGTTGCTGGATGCCATAATTTAGTATGTTGGTCTTGAACTCATACTGCTTGTCCGTCTTGGAGAGGCAATAAATCATTTGCATGTTTATTATGGTATTCCTCCATTTTCTCCTGCCTTTTTTCGTATGTGTCTATGATGGTATCTCTCGTCCGGGTGTTTGTTGGCTGTGTGTTTTGGCAGCTTAGTTCTAATGGTCCGATTGTATAACAGCTCTACTGAACTTAGTATGTTACTGCTCACTGGAGTACTCCTCCAATTAAAAAAGGCCATGTATATATTAGACTGGGCCAAAAAAATAAAACAATTTTTTTTCTTAGCGGAACTATGAAAATATTGTTCATGACGACAAAAAAAATTTTCCTGAAAGTTTGAGCCCTTAATAATAATATTAAGAGGTGCATCATTGCAGTTATTGATTTTTCAACAGTTGTCGCGTTTTTGCATAAATTTCGGACTTTGTCAATTTAAAAAAAAAATGTATCTCTTATCCTTGTAGGAAATTAAATTCCCCACAAAAAAGCTCTCTTAGTAAATTTTCGTAAGACGAATCTATTCTTTGTAATCGAGCCTTAAACATTGGTATATATTTTCAATTTTTCACTTTGCATTTGGGATTTCCAAAATGAACTTAAATATTAAGATTACAAAGAATATACTCGTCTTACGAAAATTTACTAAGAGAGCTTTTTGTGGGGAATTTAATTTCCTACAAGGATAAGAGATGAAAAATTTTTTTAAAATTGACCAAGTCTGAAATTTATGCAAAAACGCGACAACTGTTGAAAAATCAATAACTGCAATGATGCACCTCTTAATATTTTTATTAAGGGCTCAAACTTTCAGGAAATTTTTTTTTGTTGTCATGAACAATATTTTCATAGTTCCGTTAAGAAAAAAAATTGTTTTATTTTTTTGGCAGTCTAGTATATATCCTGTTTGCTCTCCACTGATTTTTTAAGAATGTTCTTTATGGTCTGAACTGTTCTCTCAATGAACCCATTTGCTTTCGGGAAATGAGGAGAAGTTGTTGTAGACTTAATACCCCAATCTAAACATGATTTTCTATATTCTTCTGACGCAAATTGTGGTACGTTATCACTAATGATAACATCTGGGATTCCGTTCTCAGAGAAGATCTGTTTGAGGGATGTGATAAGTGCGTTGCTTGTACAGTGAGTTGGCATCTTCCTCAGAAATGGGTATTTGGAGTAGTAGTCTGCAACCAGTAAGTACGTGTCTCCATTAAAAAAAAAATCAGCTCCTAAGGTTTTCCATGGAAACGGAGGTATGTCATGTGGGATTAGGGTCTCTTTCGCATTCGAGTTTTGGTATTTGGCACAAGTTTCACACTTTTTAACCATTTCTTCTATGTCATCTCCAATTCCTATCCAGTAAATGCATTCTCTTGCTTTTAATTTTGTTTTTTCTATTCCCATGTGTCCTTCGTATAAAATATTTAACATTGTCTCTCTAAGGGGTGATGGTATCACTCTTTCTCCTTTTAGAATAAGTCCATCATCAATAGTTAACTCGTCCCTAAACGACCAGTAAGGCCTTAAGTCCACTGGTAAATCCTTTCTTGCTTCTGGCCAACCGGTAAGTATTGTGTTTAATAACGATGAAAGCGTATAGTCGTTTCGCGTGCTTCTTCGTAATTCTTCTAGTTTGCTTTGGCTAAACTGGACATAGTTAACTTGGATATCTAGGTTTAAGTGTTCGCAGTGATCGAGAGATAATCTTGATAAGCTGTCAGCTAGTATCATCTCTTTTCCAGGTCTATATTTTATAGTTACATCATAGTTTTGGAGTCTTAAAAGAAGTCGCTGCAGTCTTGGTGGTGCTGCTGTCAGATTTTTTAGCTTGATCATCTCAAGTGGTCTTTGATCACTTTCTATTGTAAATGACTTGCCAAATAGATACGTATGGAAACGTTCACACGCATATACAACTGCTAACATTTCCCTTTCTATATTTGCATACCTTTGTTCGGTGTCAGATAGTTTTCTGGATGAGAATGCTATTGGTTTTCAATCTTGTATTAGGGCGGCTCCCTACTCCATGCTGTGAGCAATCAACCTGGACGTAAATATCTTTGTTTGGATTGAAATAGGATAGATTTATGTTTTTACATATGGTATCGTTTATCCATTGTAGTGCTGCTTGATGTGAGGATGTCCATATATACTCAGCTTCCTTCTTCAACAATTCTCGAAGGCATGTTGTCTTTTCTGCCAGATTAGGGGCGAATGCTGACATATCTGTTATTAATCCGAGGACATGTTGGAGTTCTTTTTTATTTTTTGGGGTTCTAAGGTTCCTTATGGCATTTAGCTTTACAGGGTCAGGTTTCATTCCATTTTTGTCAAAGATAGCTCCAAAGAATTTTATTTGTTCTGTCTTGATTTTACATTTTTGACTATTGAACGTAAGTCCGTTTTTTAGTGCTGTTTCCATTAGATTAATAAGACTTGAGTCGTGTTCGGCTTCAGTCTTTCCATATACAATGATATCATCTGATATGTTTATTACACCTGGGCAGCTTCCAACTATTCTGTCCATTTGTCTTTGGAACTCATCCTGGGATATTTTTAGTCCGAATGGTAGTCTTAGGAAACGATATCTACCTAAGGGTGTATTGAATGTAGTTTTTTTTTCCTGGGCTCGTCTGACTATGTGTCTCCGAATAACACTGAAGCCTATTGGCTTATTGTGTTTTACCCCATGTTAGTTCATAGCACCCACTCTATCACCTTTGTACCTTGTACAAGTTTGTACAGATCCTTGGGTGAGTGGGTTCTATACGTTGTTGGATCAACCTGGGGTTGTCCAAAAAGAGCCTGTCTTTTGCGATCTAGAGCTTCGCATTCGCACAGTATGTGTTTGGCCGTTTCTGGTTTCTTGTGACATAGTCGGCACATGAGTTCCCCATTGTACATGCCAATTTTGTTCAAGTTTCCCTTTACTGGGGCGTGCCCAGTCATAAACCCTGTTATCACTTTCAACTGGTTCCTATTCATTAAGAGTAGTTCTCCAGTTCTTTTGGGACATGGTCTGCCTATGAAGGCTTTTCCATGTGCCTGTTTTGGGGTGCTTCCCCAATAGTTGATATGTTGTTCCCGAATCCAGTCATTTATAAAACCCCGGACTGTACTTTTTGGTACTCCTGGGTTTGTGTCTGGTTCCGGTGTTTCTTCTGACCCTCTTTTTGCAAGTTCGTCAGCCTTTTCGTTGCCTTCAATCCCTTTGTGACCTGGCACCCAAAATAGTTTTACTCTATTTCGGTCTGCCAGTGTTCTTAGTTCTTCGATGCATTCCTATACCAGCCTCGACGTAACTTTCTGACTCGATATGGCCTTAAGTGCCGCTTGGCTGTCTGACATTATTAGAATATGCTGATTTTCGACAGCTCTTTCATTGTTCATTTTTGCACATTGCAAAATTGCGTATACCTCGGCCTGAAATAGCGAGGAATGTATTCCTATAGCATAGCTATGGTTAGTATCAGGGTTTTTGGAGAATACTCCTGCCCCAGTGCCTTCCGCAGTCTTAGACCCGTCTGTATACCAGGTTTGTTCCTGTCGTTGGGCATTGGGCTCCCTTATGGTGATCTCCGCTCTTTCCTGTATTAAAACCTCAAAGGGAGTATTAAAAGAGTACCTCTTGGTTATGTGGTCTGATCTCATGTCTAGCACGTCTCCTGTCACTAACCTTGAGATACTCATGTGACCTGGCCTAATGTCAAGATTTCCCAGTGTATTCCCTAATCTGTAAGCACCTAATCTTGCCTCCCCTTGTATCACATAGTGAAGAAGTGGGAGTCCTATTATAGCTTCCATTGCAGCAGTGGGGGTTGTTTTCATTGCCCCCGTTATTCCGAGGCAGGCAAGTCTTTGTACCTTGCTTAGCCTCGTTATTGCTTTCCTTTGCTGTGTCTTTGGCCACCACACCAAAGCTGCGTATGTTATTATGGGTTTCACCACCATGTTATAAAGCCAGTATACCATGTCTGGTTTTAACCCCCATTTTTTTCCAAAGGATCGCCTTGCCATCATTAATGAGGTTTCCGCTCTCCTTGTGGTTCTTTCTAGATGCTGGTTCCAGGTAAGTCTCGAGTCAATCATAACCCCGAGATATTTTATCTCCCCCTTAAACTGGATGCTTGCACCTCTTAGGTTTAGAGGCCCTAGTCCCTCCAATTTCCTCCTGCGGGTGAATGCAATTATGTCAGTTATGTAGTTACCATGGAGCTTTCTTTATCTAGACGTATAGACCAATAACCATCTTTGGTGTCAAGTTTGCTAAAAAAATTGAGCGCCTTGAAGGTGATATGTGAGTTCTTCGAGTGTTGATGTTTTATGATATGGGCGAATGATAGCTAGGTTAAGGTCTTTGGGGTCTAGACAGAGCCTTAAGTCGCCTGATTGTTTTAAACTGACCACCATGCTGCTTACCCACTCAGTAGGCTCATTCACTTTGGTTATTACTTCAAGTGATTCTAGTCTTATTTCTTTTTTCAGTTTTTCTCTCAAGGCAATGGGAAATTTGCGTGATGCATGGACTTTTTTTTGGATCTATAGTGATATGGCATAGGCCTGGTAAATTACCTATTTGGTCAAACTGAGTTGGATGTTTCTCTAATATATCATTTATATTGTTTATGGTTTGTTTCATGATAGCGCAATTCAATGTTGTCAGTCCTAACTTCTGTGATGTTGGTAATCCTATAATTGCAGGACCCTGGCTCTCTACGATGAAATATTCTGTATTTACCCATTTGTCTTTAAACCGCGTTGGTATGTTGATGACTCCATAATGTTTTATGTGTGTATCATTGCATGCTGTTAGTATCGTTTTTCTTTGTATCAGGAACCGTCTGTCTGGTTCTTCATTTTTCATATGTTTTGGATACAACTGTTTATACATTCTGACTGGTAAGGTATTTCCCTGTGCTCCCGTGTCAACTTTTGCAGATATATTTGCAATTGTTTTTGTATCGAATAATCTCAAATCAATGTCAGCAAATACTTCATCTTTATCTGTGTTTTGATTTATTATTGATATTTTTAGTGTACTGAACTCTTCGTTTGACATTTCATATTGTTGTTCAACTTCAGTGTCGTCTGAAACTATAGTGTTCACATTTTTGTTTAGTTTTCGTTGTTCGTTCTGATTGCTAACATATCTATCATTTCTGTAATTGAATCTTGATCTGGGGCGTTCTCTTTGCGTTGATCTGCACATTTGCCTCCAATGGTTAGACTTTCCACACGAATCGCATGTAGCGCCATATGCTGGCCATATTTATTTTGGTTTTAATGCATGTGTTCTACCACAGTTCCAACAGGTTATTTTATTTTGTTTAATAATATTGATAGGTGTTTGTTCAGCTGTTCTGGCATTCGAAACTGACTGCATGTCTTATTAATGCCTCATAGGTCCGTCCGCAATCAAGAGCATTGTCGAGGGTGAAAGCTGCATCTTTTCCCAGCAGGTCTCTTTGTAAATCAGGCTGTTTGACGCCTGTTATTACCTGATCACGAACTCTGTCGTGTTTTTCGCTTTAAAGCCGCATTTGCTTGCTTGTAATTTGCATCTAGCCACAAAATCATCTATTGATTCATCTGGGCGCTGTTTATATTCGGAAAAAAAATTCGGTCTACCCGAAATGTAGTAAATGTGTAAGTTCGTGCGACGACTCTAGGGAAGGAACCCCAGGTGCGCCCCACGGTTTTAGAGATTGTAAAATTATGACCAAAAATCGAGTGATCCACAAAAAATGTTTTTAAAGCAGATCATGACTGACAAAGACAAGTCATGTCCGTGATAACTACGCACAACTCTGAATTAAAACCAAATGACCCTTAAAATGTTTTGCATAGGGTGGAAAGTAAGTGGACTGTATATTAATGGTGAGGGATATTACTTATTCGAAAAGTTTCCGCCCTAACCAATACAAGAGAGCAAATTGTTTGTGTAGAACTCACAATTTTCACACGAATAAAAGTCATACACATACAAAACGATTTATTTAAAAAAACAAAGAAGTCAGAAGAACTTCTCAGAATATAACTATAATGATCAAAAAAAAAATAACAGAAATGTCTTCCCTTACACGTGGCAACTCTGCACGTTTAGCCGATTTTCCTTAAAATGAAATAAAAGAAAAATAGTCAAAAAACTAACATGTGTCACTTTCAGCACTGATTTTATTTACTTTAGTTAAAATATCTAATTGAGCTTACATGGTCTCGTATAGATCTTGAAAAATGAGATTCAACATAGGCATTCAAATTACCTTAATCAAAATACACAACATAGCGGCTGTTAAAATAAACATTACATTTTAATTGTCTCCACCGACAGCCCACAAAATAACACCATTCATCTTTGAGTACTACAACTGACTGAGTAACTGATCGGGAATCGGGTTAGCTTTTTTTTTTTGGAACAGCCGCGTGTGTCGGAAATATGTGGTAGATTCAATCTGAAACCCGATCAGACAAATAGGGAATATATTTTATTATTCTACGGGGTAGAGTTACAATTAAGTCGCGCAGATGGATTTTAATTTTCAAAATCCAACATAAAAAAAACATTTTTTTTGTGACCACTCCATATTGTATTGTTTACCGAAAAAAAAGTGCTATAAATCATACGAGTAGAAAATTAGTATTCCTTGCCACTGTACTTTTTCTACGACCATAGCAAATTTTTATAATTAAAATGACAGTTTTCTTCTAGATAATTGTTTAATATTTAACATTTCATGGTAACCGTGATTTTACTTAAATAATTAGGGAGTGATTACTTTGTATTATTAGATAAGGATCTAATACAGAAATGATTACTTCGTGTTACCAGAATGTTTAAAATAAGTAACTTTTCCACCGAGGCATATTTCGTCCAATCCTTATATTTTGGTATAAATAATATGTGCGTCTCATTAGTTATGGTTAAACTTGTAAAAAAATATTTTTTTTGGAAAATGTATTTCTTAAATTCCAGGTATGTTCCCGTCATGATGGCGCTCGAATAATGGTAGTAAGAGGAGACAAAAACTTGGACACCTGCAATTTAATGAAACACGAAAAATACGGTGCTAAAATGGATGCAGATTTCAAAGGAGTCAAAGTATTTTACGAAAAACCAGCAGAAGTTGTTGGTAATTCTTTAATTTTCATTGTTTTATTTATTTTTGATAACACGAAACCATTTTAGGTCTAATAGATATCACAAACAATGATTTAGAAGATGAGAAAGATGAAAATAGAGCCGTAGAAGATTTAACTAGTGAAAGTAAGAACAGTATTGATTCGTATATGGAGAAAACGAGAGAAAAAAAGAGTTATTTTATTGATAAAAATCAAGAGCCAAATGATAACGATGACAATAATGATGACAAATTCGTAAAAACTAAAGATAACCATAAAGATGGTACCGATGACGTGCCAAAGTTAAGACACGCCAGAAGTCATTTGAGAGAGATACAGGAGAAAGTAGAAGAACTGAAAAAGTCGCTTGAAGGTTAGTTGTAAAAGAATGTTTTAAGCATGAATATGAAGACTATAATAAATTCTTTATAATAGTGATCCACAAAAAAATGTTTTTAAAATAGGCCATAACGCGATTAACAAAATAAATAATCGATTAATCGAAATATTATATTATTATTAATCGATTAATTGAAATAAACGATTAATCAAAATAATAGATTAATCTAAATAATCGTTTAAACGAAAATAATCGATTGATCAAAAATATTCGATTATCGGTTTTCAAAAAAAAAAATAGTCGACTAGATTAATCAAATATCATCGATTAAAAAAAAAGATTAATCCACTAATCGATTATTTTGCCTACCCCTACCTGGAATACCGTATAATAGAGGTTGCGTTCGCGGTAACAATTCAGAATTGATAATGAAACAGACATGCGCTCAAAGTATTAGTAGTTTTGAATCAATTCAGGATTATTACCACGAAAGAAGCTATTAACTACACTTAATACAAACCCAAATTAAAAAATATATATTTTTTTAACATTTTACACAATACTTATTTTATTTTAAAAGCAAGCTAGTGTTATTGGGTGTTTCTTTAAAAATTGCTCCTCAAAAAATAACCAAAAAACTTAAATTTTAACATAATTTTCAAAGAAAGTTGTTGTCCACAACACATTTTTTTATTAGATTCGAAGAAAATTTATTTTATTGTTTCTTTAAAGTCGATTGAACGATCATTAGACTATTTTCATTAATCGATTAATCGAAATCGAATACAATCAATACGTTGAAAATAATCGATTAATCTAAAATCAATTTATCGAAAATAATCGATTATTCGATTTAAAAAATCGACTAGTCGATTAGTCTTCCCACTCTTATGCCGCGTTTGAAAATCCACATCCGATGCATTTTTTACATCTCGAGCGTTTTTTATCCACATCGGACACATCTACTACATCTACATCTACAGAAAGTAGATGTTCTGTGAAGCCAAGATTATTGATTTATCCTTTATTTAAGAGCAAACATGACGGGCGCTCCTCCGCCAAAAATCAATTTTTTTAACCTTTAACTACTCGCGCCTTAATATTTAACATTAGTACTCGCGTGGTGTATTTTATACACCATCACCAAAAATGCTCAAAAAGCCCACAAAACAATACATATATTTTCAAAAACTTTTATTGAATGAAAAGCACTATTATAAATGTATTGAAAACAAATAAATGTATGAAAAACTAAAAACTAGAAAATATCAAACAAAACAAAAACCAAAAAGAGTTTGTGTAAACTACTACTCGCTAGCATCCTCATCATTGCTAATATTATTGCACTCCGGACAAGAAATTTTACTAATTGAATGTTCCTTGCATACTGGTTTGTGACATGTATGGCACGAAATTGTTGTCACCCTATTTTTCTGTCTTCCACAACAAAAACACCTTCCTCGTATTTTTGCTGGAGGTTCTTCGCTATGCTCCTCTTGAGGTGGTTTGTATCTTTTTAGAAAACACTGGATATCCGAAGGTAAGGTCTGCAGGATAGCTCTTTCCGAAAGGTGCGGCTTCATCATAGACATCGCCAATTCTTTCAGAAAAACTCTTCTGTATTTGTGGCTATTCTCGATATGTATGGCGTTGTATAAAATTTGACTATTTATACCTGCTATATTCACCAATTGGAAAAATAAAACTAAAGGCCATCTTCTTGTCCTTCTGAGAACGGAATACGAGCCACATAATTTATCCACAGTATCAACGCCTCCTTTATAACAATTGTAGTCCATTATAATATCTGGCTTATTAGTTTCAGGATGGATTGCAGCATCAGTGTGCATTGTCGAAAGCAAAATTACAGCCTTATTTTTTTTGGGGGCATAGGATACAATGGTCACGTCTTTTTGAAATCCAAAGATAGACGAACCAGGTGTTCTCTTTTTATTTGGTAAGAATTCTGACGGCAGCTCCTTTTTATTTATTTTTAGTGTTCCAACAATTGTAAATTTATCATCTAAAAGCTTTTTAGCCAAAGGGTAATTAGTGTACCAATTATCACATGTCAAATTTCGGTTTTTGCCTTTCCACGGTTGAAGTAAACGAAGAGTGATATCAGTGGGCGTATTTGACCTTTGGTATTGCCCTTCTGGCTGTTGACCACAATACACCTCTAAGTTGCTAACGTAAAATGTTCTGGAGTCACATAACACAAACGCTTTCAAACCATATTTTGCAGGTTTGTTTGGAATGTATTGAAGAAAGCTGCATCTACCCCTAAAAGGTATCAACATTTCATCAATTGTTACTTGTTCTCCCAAATTATAATTCTTTTTGCAGTTGTCCACAAAACTGTCTAAAACTAATCGGATAGGAGCAAGTTTATCAGTTAATTTTCTATCACATCTAGTATTTTTATTATCGAATCTTAAAGTAGTTAGCAAAAATAAAAACCGATTATAACTCATGCAAGCTCTAAATATCTCTGAGCCAGTTCCATCAGTTGTCCATAATTCAAGAAAATGTGTGTGGTTCTGCTTCTTGGTTCCTGCTAGAAGTAATAATCATATAAAAGCCAATATTTCCGTTTTTGTGGTGTTTTTTGCAGCTCTTGGCCGCTGATAATTTGTTCGCAATCTTAAAATCTCTAAATTTGTGCATTGAACAATAATTTTAATTATATCATTAGTAAAAAATTGTTCGAAAGCACTTTTTTCATCAGTAATATCTCGTGCACATTGCTTAGGTCCAGGAAATATTTTGACGATATTTTTTTTTATTTGTTTTACTAAATTTACTCACAATTGGAGTTTTCTTCCACACCATTCTTATTATCTTATCTCTAGCCACAAAATATTCTTCACTATCTTCTTCATTGGTCTCACTATTCTCATTTTCCTCATCTACATCTGAGTTATTCATTTCTTGATCTGAATTCTCCTGTTCTTCATTTGTGTCATTTAGTTCTTCTTCCGACTCTATATTATGATCACTCTCCTTTATAGCTTCATCTTCTAACGTATCTGATTCTCCCCCAACTTCTTCTTCACTTTCTTCGTCAAATAAAGCGCGAGCCATAGCCTCAAGTTCATTTTCCGTGAGACGTTTTGCATCTCTAACTGGTACCCGATTCCTACAAAAATAGTACTTTTATTTTACCAAATTTATTGTTGATTTTATGAACAAACCAAATGGCAAAGTATATATTTTACCTCAAGCAACTAAATTTAAAATATGTAAAATATACTCACATAACTACTCGCGTGGTGTATTCTGTACACCAAACAGAACGGCTATAGATTTCACACCAAATAACTACGTTCTTACTACAGCAATCACAGCGCCATTGAGGTGCCATTGAGTAAGGTTCTAGTGGACACTTCAATAATAGGTTAGGTGGTAGCACAGGGACGGAATCGGTAATCAACAAGAATAAGAGCATTTTTAGTGCAAGTGGTGTATTTTATACACCGACGCGAGTAGTTAAAGGTTAAAGAAAAACAACAAAACTTTCAACTTTTTAACAAATTTAATTTTTTGGCTCTTTAGCGTCATTCTATAACAAATATCTTAACTATTTTCTAAATAACTTTTTTTCAAAAAGATTACCAATTTTAAACAGGACCGAAGATTAACATAGTTTTCATTCCGATACTAATTCTATTAAAACAATGATACCAGTGAATATGGCAACGCTGCTAGTAAATGAAGCCCGTGGTTAAAAGGGTAGATGCTGTTTAGTTAAATTTGTTAATTCCTGTATCGAAAAATAGGTAGTTGTTTTTGAAGAGGTGCGAAATTATTGTGATCGTCTTAGTTTGTTGTTGAGGCGTTGTTAGGTTTTTGTTTAATTTAGTTTTTAGTTAATTTATGAAATGAAAAATTCTGGAAGGCAAAAATGCACAGCTGACAAATTTCTATTTTATTTGTTTGCTGCCAGAGTTAGTAAATCCTAGAAAAATACGACATGTGCCAATTAGGGAAAAAAGATTGTCAAGAATTTTGCACGCTTAAAAAATGTATAATATACAGGGTGTTTCTAAATACATGCGACAAAATTCAGGAACTGATTGCTCGTATGAAATTAAGATGGGTCTTTCCTATAACAAAATTTCCTCAGCCCACCCCTTTTCGAGATATCACCCTTAAAAAGTGGTGACTAAAATTGAGTTTGTATTTTTTTCTAAAATTTCAGTAAAGCTAGAAACTTGAAATTCTGTAATCGCAAAGGACTAACCACGGGTATTTTTTCAATATTTCTGTTACATTATGGGGAGGTGAAATTAGCAACACTTACTTTATTTCATATCAAAACTTTTTTTCGAGATGAACTTTTATGAAATCCTCGTTTTATTTAATTTTTTTTTATTCTTGAATTTTTTTCCCAAAACAAATAGCTTCAGAGAAAAAAATTAACACCCTAATTTATCATTATTTTTTTTTTATAAATTGAGTGGAAAACAGTTTTTTTTTCTATGAAGGTATTGGTTTTGGGAATTTTTTTTTAAATAAAACAAGTATTTCAAGTTACAAAATTATTTCATAAAACTTCATCTCGAAAAAAAGTTTTGATATGAAATAAAGTAAGGGTTGCTAATTTCACCTCCCTATAATGTAACAGGAATATTGAAAAAATAACCGTGGTTAGTCCTTTGCGAGTGCACGAAAATTACAGAATTTCAAGTTTCTAGCTTTACTGAAATTTTAGAAAAAAAATAAAAACACAATTTTAGTCACCACCTCTTAAGGGTGATATCTCGGAAAGGGGTGAGCTGAGGAAATTTTGTTATAGGAAACACACATCTTAATTTCATACGAGCAATCACCTCCTGAAATTTGTCCCATGAATTTTGAAACACCCTGTATGTTGGTATATTAAGGTGAATGCCGCAGCCTTTATAATTTTCGGACCAGGATATTTCAAAAAGTAATTTTGTTTATAAATTAAAATTTTGGCAAAATAAATTAGGAAATATTAACTATATATATTTTAAAGTTTTAATTCCTTTCAGTTTCCGGGAAAAAAA